CCTTTAACCTTACGGTAAAATATCTTCCGTCAGTAATTTGTGGTGTAAGTCCCCCTGTCACGTCCCGCTTCGTCTCAGGTCTGTGACAGGGATGCATATTTTGTCGGGCCAGGGACCGAAACTGGCAATGGAGATAGCGTATCGTGACGAAGAGATCGGCCCAGGTTGTGCTGATTACCCGGGTAAATTGGCATTGGATGTTCGGCAATGTCAAGATTGTCGGTTCCTTGCATGTTGCCCTGTTGTTGACCAATTACATATCCATCAAGGGAGGGATCCAGGAACAGATTGTTAGTTCAGGAACAGGACGGCTAAATCTGAGGATGGCGGTTAAATATGCAGATGATCACCAACACAGACACAAGCGTTTAGTACCCATTTCTTGTCTGTATTCCAGCGTCCTTTTTATCCTTGATATACACAGTTGATAGATGAACTGTGATATGAGCGATTATAGCAAGCAAATGGCTCAAATTCTTGTGCTGTGCCACGATCTACGGACAAGATAAGATGATCCTGATCCACCCCTTTCCTTTCATGTTTCAGATACCCGGCGCTAGAAGCCGTTGGTAATAGCTTATTTTTCGTCTCATCTCAACGTGATGATGGGGTTATCGGTGGAGTATTTAATGGCACGTCGATGATTTCGCTTAATGTTCTTGGCTATTATAGCACGGCTGGGGGGGTAAATCTGTCAAGTATCATATCATCAACTCTGGCTAAATCTCACCGAGCTGACCAGTCTACACGATCAAGGCTTGTATAGTACCCATTTCGTACAGATAGCTCCTCCAAGTGGACATTTAAAACTCTTAGTCTGCCCTGCCAAGAGCCATTGTAATATCTCTAATCTCACGTTCTTCCAGAGTTCTGTTCCATAACGTCTCCACAATCTTCTCTCCTGAGTCGACCTGGTCTCGTTAGCAATCATATAGTCAGCACCGCCCAGCTCATGGGCGAAGTTCCCAATCCTTATTTACCTCGACCCTTGGCTCTCCTTCCAAGGACCAGTACGGGATGAAGGAACTAGCTCGTTCCATCCACAATGCTACTTGCTAGCAAGATGCTAGAAGTGTCGAAGCCATTGCTCGGAGAAGCTCTAATTCTCGTGAGGCTCGTTCGACTCGCAACATAGAGACGGTCTGTTGGTAGTGCCATCGTGCACGAGAGCTTGATCATCGAGCACTAGTCTTCTTCATGGAGTATCTCTGGGCATTTCAACAATATATATTGGATTCCACGATTTAACTACTGTTCTACCGCTGTGGTTCTCATCATGATATTTTTGAGACAGCATGAATGTGGCAAGTTGCGATAAACTCATGGCCATCTTCCCGAGATCGAATTATTTAAACTACTGTAAAACAGCTTAATTCTACTATAATAAACTGGAAAGGTACTATAAGTTTTAGGATGAATTAGATATAAATATCATTTTTAAGCACATTCTTAAATTCTGCCGTCATATATCAAGATTGTTTGCCAAATCTTAGCGGTTACTGCCTGAACCTACCCTATTGGCCTATGCCCGTTTAGTCAGCCATCTCAACTTCCTCATGTGAGATGCGCCGCTTTCATCATGCTCTTCATGCCCTTCATCATCCTCCTTCCAAAAAAAAAAAAAACTCACTCCTCTTCAACTTGAAATTCCATAGCTATCAATGAAACCTCCAAAAATGATGCTCAAGACTACTTTACTCGCAGCCAAACCTCCTTCTGATCCACCATCACCTCCGAACAAGCCGAACACCCCACTGCACCACGGAGAGGCAGAATGGACAGCTGTTTATCCCATTATCGAGAGGCTGTATATGAAAGATCGAAGAAAACTTCGACATATCATGCAGATCATGGAGGAGAAGCATAATTTCAAGGCATCGTGAGATCACCCATCTATCTGATATCATCGCAAGCTCATATAGAGTCCAGAGTCCAGATGTATAAGAGGCGCTTCACAAAATGGGGGTTTTATAAATCAAAACAAAGAAATGCGAAGACTGCTTGCAAGAAAAAGACCCCGACTCCGCAAATCACAGCAGAGACTCAAAACTGGCCAAATGCTACGCCGTGTCAGAGCCAGTCGCTTATTCTCTCTCCGAGCCCAGACCCTTTGGAGACAAGTAGTCTTGAATTTCTTACAAGTATACACGACTGGAGTAATGCATTCTATGAATCTCTCTACACCGATGGGTTAAACCTACAAAGCAACCATTCGTCACCACGAACTGGTAAAATCAACCGTTACGATCCAGAAGGATTAAGTTTCGCCTTTCGGACCATCGTTGAGCTCATACAACGCGGAAAAGGCATTCTAGCAGGCCGATTGACCCGTAAGGCCTTTCTAGACATCGAGAATATGCTGCAGATTGAAGCACCTTTGTTTATCTGGAATGTCTTGGAAATCATGTATCACATGGTTCGTCTTGGTCAGACACAGCTTCTCGGTATGCTTCTCATGCAACTAGTCGAACTGGCGAGTAATATCCATGAGATGACGCATCCGATTATCAAGATGCTGAGGAGTTTGCAAAAAGCGGTGTATCTTTGGGAGAAGCATGCTACACTGGATAAAATGCAACTTCTTGAGGAGGCTTGGGTTCTGAATGCGGATATTATCTGCAGGAACTACGACTCGAGACTGTTGGTCATGTACTACCGCCTAGTCTGGGAATCTTCCTGTGTTCAACTTGGCGAGGATCAACTGGATGGTCTTGATAAGTGGTTCTCAGCCATCAAGAGCAAGATTCCGCATGAGGATTCCTATTTCCAACAGGCTGTTTTATTCACTGATCCTAACTCGAAGGAGGATACAGAACCGCCGAGAGACTACGAGATCACAAAAGCCCTTTGCGTCTCGGCAATACAGCATCGCTGCACAATGACCTTTGGAGAGTCAAACATGGCAAGCCTCGTGCGTTTGGGTTTACTGAAGAGTCGAGTTCTTGACGAGATTGACGAGAATCCAAGCGATGAGACACCGCAGTCCCACACGCGGTTTCAAGCAAGGGTTATGGCCTACTTGATGAAAGTACTTATGGACGTTGATAGAGAACTCGGGTTGGATGTCAATGTGGCGGACAGAATGCGCAACAAGATCGCTTTACGAGAGTTTGGCTACTCGAGCACTTCGCCTCAGGTTATACATGATATGTGGCAGCTAGAAGCCTTTCTGCAACAAGAAGGACATGTAGCTGAAGCGGCAAAGATAAGGAAGGAGACGTATAAGAGGCTTGAGGAGTATGTAAACCAGGTGCCTGTAGACGAGGTCTAGCAAGCGCATGATTGACAGGCACAGTTGCAATGTGGCAGCTAAATGCGATGAGATGGTGAGATGATTTACCCAAACGCCACGAGTCTATGCTCTATAAAATGCCTTCCTATGCAACATCAACATGCCTTACAAATACAGTCACCTCATGAATCACGGCCCAGTCGCTCTTCGTCATCTTGAGTTAGTTCATATGCCGGTCGGAAACCCTGTCCATTTTGACCCTGCTTCTTCAGATGGGGATTGGGATGTGTGTCCTTTATACCGCCTAGACTCGTGTAGCCTTGGTCGTATAGAGGACAGTACTCGATGCCGAGGTGTCGGATAAACTGGTCATGTTAGTTCATTCGGCGCATGGTGGTGGTGGGGACTTACAGCCCAGATTTGAACTGTCAGAAGGTAAGTCAGCAATTGTTCGTTGTATGCCTGTAAGCATAGATGTAGGGTCAAGGAGGAGGTCGTACCATAATGCCAGTCAATAACAGGATGTATTCTCATAAACGACGGCCAGCCAGCGTCCGTCGGATCAAAGAAGGTCAAGTTCTCGCCATGAGGATCCGTTCTTCTCGTTCCCACAAACACAGCCTTGATACTCGGTCGTTCCTCAAGGTATATCTCTAGCCCCTTCTTCATCGGTAGCACGTAGCGCGCAACTTCAAGACCGTATTCTTCGCTGGACGTCTCGACGAACGTGTCGACTTCGGGAAAGGGATGCGCCGCGACGACGTATACGCATTGGAGCTTTTCGAGGGGTGTGAGTTCGGAAGTGCCGTTGGTCGTGTCGGATGTGGAATAGTAGTGTCGGCCCATGCGAGCGAGGAGGATGATTAAAAGGACGAGGCCTAGGATGATTAGTTTTTGTCGCTGATACATGGAAGACCGTGAAAGGGACTTTGATAAAGCCCCAGACCCTCGTTATGCGACTTACAGTCCTTCCCGCCATTATATGATAACGCTATTTGTTCCGGTCTGCTTCCGTCAGCCCTTATCCGACCTTCCCATCCGACAAACGCACCGATATTTCTGCAAGGCCTCATCCACGACCTCTATCGACTTGCGGACCTGAGCTTGTACATCGCGCAATGTCTGTGTCTCGGCCTCCTCAGCAATGAACGCTTCGACCTTTTGGTGCAGCTCGAGACACTTGTCGCGCAAGGAGCGGGGTGGCGGGGTCGATATCATGATGGCTCTCGATGCCTCGGATGTAAAGGAACTGGCGTTTTGGGTATTGTCTATGCTTGCTTCGAAATCGAGGATCTATGCTAGAGAGAGAAGAATAGAGAGGAATTGATTTCGAAAAATTGTATGTGTTGCGATGAAGCGAAAGTTAATAGCTCCGGTTTCGCCGTGTACTTGGGCGATGGAGGGGAGGTACGTAAAGAGGTGCTGCTGCTGGACTGCTGAGCAGCTTCCATGCGATCACGTGCAGTACGTTCTGCGGTTGGGTTGCCGCATCACGTGCATCACTTACAAGAGCTGTTAGTGGTGAACAGATTTACCTCGGAACATGAAAAGAGTCACTGTTTTTAATATCGTGAGAGCAGAGGAAGATTGCTATTAGCGTTCATTTATTTATATGTTCGAACCATGATCATCACCCGTAAAAAGCCCAAGGCTGTAACTCCAAAACATTAAACATGCACTACACCAGACTCAAACACCAACCTGTTCAGCCTCTACCGAAGTGTTGAATCTCCACAATGCTCAAAGTCCATAACTCTCAGTGAATAAATCACTGGATCCATTGCCAAGTAATGAACTTGATACAAGCTATGCCTTTCGGCCTCTGCCTCCACCTCCACCTCTCAACAGACCACGGTATAACAAGGCGATGCGTGTTGATTCCAACGCGCTTCATCTCCTCAGGACAGAGCTCGTAGAATATACGGCCACGAGCCCTGAATCTTTCTGGTGGCCCCTTACCTGGCCATGGCTTGGCGATGAGGAAGTCCACGGGTATCCCTTGATGGCGCCGCTCGAGTGGATCAAAGTGAGCTGGCTTCACGTAGAAATATAGCGTATGTATTCCAGGAAACACGGCTTCCAGAGTGCTCAGAAGAGCAGAATCCTGGTAGTAATCAAATTCGCTGTCAAATGGTACAGCCACCCTTCGGATAGCTTCTAAACCCCGATATGGCACGGGCGGTGCGAAACTCAAGACGGCTCGGAACCCACTTACACGGGTGTTACCGTGACACCATCTCTCGACAATGACCAAGTAGCTGGCTGCGTCGATGTGAAGGCCACTTTCTTCCTTCACCCTCGTAGCATTGTCATGCGAGTTGTCGAGTCTCATGCGTACGGGAACTTGTGGCCGGTAAAGGGTCCAGCAGCGAGTGATCTCTTGATACGATGCACGGCAAACTCGCATCAGGTCATAATCACCTCCAGGATTTGATGAAGGTGGGTGAGGGAAATTACCAAGATTTGTAGGAATCGAGTGTGCGATTCTGAGTTCCCGTGGCCACATAGGGAAACCCTTGACATCCACGAAGTAGGCCCGTGGAGCATCAACACAGAGAGCGTAGGCCCAGATTAAGTTCTGGATTTCCTGAGGCAACTCGCCAAACCTGTGAAACGCGCCCTTGGGTTGGGGTTCATTTTTGAAGAGCTTCTTGACGAGTTGAAACATTCTGATGATATCTCCGTATATCTGACTGCTATCGAGCTTTGGTAGACATGTTGGTTATCGTAATTACAGATGGAAGAATAAGTATTTTTATACTCCTTTCTCTTAGAAGAACACGCTATTAGCAACGTGCTGTCGCCGGAAAACTCAACTGTTCAGTCAGGTTCTCTGGGTGGTAGGGCACGCATTCTGGTGAACAACGCGCAGTCCACTTACAGCACCTCACATCTGTGCTTTGTGCTGGAAATTTGGAAGGGAAGGGAACAATTGAATGCATAGAAATGTCAGGAAACCATCGTGCGGACCACTCTTCCATCAGGATTACGCCACACCAGCTATTGCTTGTGGAAACTGTCCATATCCCCGTGGACGACAAAGGCGGCGAGACTTGATTCTAGAACATCGGGTGATTGGAAGGAATTGGTATACTAGACATCACAGAGAGACCTTGTTGGCTATATTCAAAGGCTGTTATAGAGTGCTAGGTATAATATTATCGGGACTTTGCAAAACAACTAACATAATAGCTCGGGGTTGAGATGACGACCCCCCCCCTCTCAATAAACCGTTGCTCATCCTCACTCTGTATTCAACGGGCCAATACCCCTTCATCTAGATAAGAAGCTACTGTGAAATACTCGCGGTGAATACCTGTACTCAATCCGGCTCTGGTTCTCTGGTTGTCCACTATCAACGGTCGTAATATTTCCTGGTGTATCAAGGATCGAAGTCAGATACTTCATAGCAGTACTTCGCTTCCTTCACGGTGTAGCCCCTGGCATTGAAGGGGCGCTCTGCTGCAGAACTCATCGTGCAATGCCGTAGACTGTGTGGGTCGATGTGATAGAAGAGGAAGCGTCGTGATCTCCCCCTAAAGCTGATCAATCTGGGCATCCAATAGTGACGCCATGGAAGTACTGTCTACGGACGAGCCGCAGATACTGACACCACTTTTCGTTGTTATTGAGGTCTTCCAAGATACTGAACATGCAGTAAAGTGGCACGTTTCTTATTAACGGATTTTCTGGTTCCAAATAACTTCCGAGGTAATTTGTATCGTCTAGGGCTGTGTGTAGGAGTCAACTCAAAATCGAGAAAGCCATTCATGGACACCCAAAACAGTTGTTGCACTATCGGAAAATAGGCCGGGACAAATTAAGATAGTGTGAGGTTCTAGGAGGGTTGGGACGATAAAGAGACCAGACTCATGCTTAGAGTCATCTCAAGGCTTGAAATTTCGGAAACTCCTCTTCCACATACGCCTTGAATAGAGGGAGCGGCGGGTTCAGGTACTTTAACTCGGTTGGCCGCCATTCAAGTCTTGCTACCTCGATGACAAGTCGTCTAAAGCTGTTGAATAGACTGTTACAGACATGTCGGAGAAACCCAGGCTCTTGAGCGTTCGAGATTGGTGTGAGGAGTTCAGTCAGGCTGACCCACGAAATTGCGATGATGTGTGATGGGAAAGCATCTTTGCCCAGCGGCACTAGAGGCTCATAAGACGAGAAAGGATAAAAATAGCGTGTATCATAGTGGATATTGATAGAGTGGATGCTGCGCAGCTAGATCTGAGAGATACTGTTTGTTCAGTGGATTGATCCGGTCGCCCAAGTTGCTTCGTTACACTCGTGTGTAGTAATTTAGTAACAGGTTCATGCCACCAAAGTTGCCTGGTCTTCCTATGGCTTGGTTCAGCATGTTCCCACGCTCTTCACCCATATTGCAGATGTAGCAGCAACCTCAGCCAGGAGACTAATCTTGGGATAGGTGAGTTAATAACGAAAACTTTGTCCTTAGGTAAGGTATTGTTCGAGATGGCTCGTGCTGCTGAAGTTACGTGCCTAACCCTTCGTAAATACTTATCCAGGATCGTTTTGTAGTTTGACTTGTCCCTTAATAAGAACTTCTAAATCTGTTTCGTAGATAGGTTCTGGTGTTTAACCTAAAGGGCAGTAGTAGGATACTTGCTTAGTTCTGACGTCTTGGATCTGGGAATCTGAAATAAGAAGCTCTACTTCTCAAATGCAATAGCTGTTGCCATGGAACTTTAATGTGCACAGTTCCAGGTTGTTTGTGATTCCCAAACTCAGCGCTTTAGCGTTTAAAAAATATGAGAGGCCAGTTGGTGCGAAGTTGGCATTGGTGTTAGGATTGCCTTTGTTTTCCTCCTCGTCTCCCTCCTCAGTCTCTGTGACTCTCTGCTGCAATACTCCAATAAAGATCAACCTAGGGCGTTGGTGTGACGTCGAAATCCTGTCCAACAGCACTCAGAGACAGTAGCTGGAAGCCTTGATATGTACGTGCCATATTGGCGGTGGAAGAGACTTTTATCCGAGTCAAATTGTAAGGCAACAGTGAAGCTCTTGGTCCCAGGGGCTAGAAAAAGCTATCTCATGTCAATCTTCTTTACTGCCGAGAGGAAGACCTGGCTGCCCAGGTAGATCTGGTTCACAAGTCTTTCAAACTCGCTACCCGGCAGAAAGGATATCTTCAAGGGTAGGCACCGCTGAAAGTTGACTGAGTTTGCTTGAGAGGACTGAACGCTGGCAACGGTGAGCCATCTCTCCATGTCAGGATTCCGTGGGAGACCAAAATCTAGTTCCCATCCAGCGCTTGCGAGAGCATTTTCGATCGCCAGCTTCCAGACTGGCCATTGCTTGGCCTTTTCGAAATGCTGGTCTTTGCTGATTGGGATCTTGAAACATTTGAGATTAGCCATCTCTTTGTACTCCTTGGAGTCGTGAATGGGGTTATTATTAGCTGCCTGCAGTCAAGATCGTATTTGTCCATCAGTTGCTTCATCTTTAGTGAGATGATATATAACAACAAGATTCAATGGAGACACCAGCTTCACGAACAAGCCAGAAATGGGCTTTCGGCGGCTTACCCCTTGGTGCATAATTTCGGGTTGTGTTCGAGCTGGTATTTCGGAACGTCGCTCCCACATTTGCCACCAGCTCGCTTGAGCAATTCGATAGCCTAAGAAGCGGCCTATTACCGTACGACTAGGTCGTTGCAATGGATGTTTCAATGATGGGGTCAACAGTATGATCTAGGTCCCCCAAGACCTCTTCCTGGCGGCTGAGGTCCTTGTTGTGCATAAGATCAGAGCTCCAAAGGAATTCCCCCATAATTTGATACCTGTTTATGTCTATCAGCGAGTGATAAACAGTCAAACTAGACTATGTTGCCGGATGCGAGACTTTGATGAATAAGAAGGGTATTAGCAATCCGACCGATCGGACACTCGTAGAGTTGTTGGTCACTGCCTCAGTTGGTTCACTGAAGAGGAACAGCACCTTGGCCTCTTTAAACCCTTTACCGCCCAGCAAAGCTGGTGTCAACCGCTTGGTACTTAGTTCGTGAAGTAGAGAGGTCAAGAAGTCTTTGTACATTCTTTTCACTTCAAACTTGTCAGCCTCAGCGGGTTGACGAGCAGTCCGCCGCTGCTTCTTCGATCCTTGAAGATTTCAACGGCTTCTGACAGATATTTGTCAGCCGTGTGCACGTTGACCAAACTCCCATCCTTGGCTCCTCAAGGCAAGGCTGAGAGAAGGAGATGGCGGCGTGCCTGTTGGACTGGATATCCGGTTTCGATCCATGGTAGAGAATTGAAAATATGAGGCCAGATGGCCTGCCCCTTCCAGGATGAAAATGCTCTCCGATTCCGGGAATTGAGGCTTGCCACAACTTAGTATCAATGTTCTTATCATCCAGGATCAAGTCGCTGGAGAACCTCCTCGGCTTCTCAAGACCACTGGACGAGGAATTCGACGGTTTTGGGTTGGTGGTTTACTCTGTGGTCTTCTTCCGGCTCATCCAAGTTAGATCTCGGACCGTCGAAACTGTTGACCGTTGAGTCTTGTTGACATAACAGGTACTGCAGAAACATGGGAGTAATCGAGAGACCCAGACCCAGCTGACTCTGTTTCATGTTCTGCGTCTGATCAACTGCCAGCCTCCGCTGGATCCCTCCGCTGCCTTCTGTATAATGACTCGCGAGGCATAGTAGTCGTTTGATGGTGAAAGAAAAGCAGCAGAGAACCGTCTCTCTGTCTCTCTGTCTCTCTGTTCCTACTTTCCTCTTTTTTTCTTTCGTCTTTTTTGGCCTTCACTTCTGGTTCCCTTCCTCGCTCATCAGGAAATTAGCGAAGCTGACTCTTCATGTTGCTCCACTACGAAGAACCGATCCAAAACGACAATCATAGTCAAAGTCATGGTGAGAACTGCATAGAGGGGAGGCGTTCGTGGCCTTGACACTCCCGAGTCCAAATGAGCATTGAAATTTAAAATCTCCGCAAGCCGAAAGTTGTGTATCTCTATGTCAGGTCATCGTTCCTCTCTCGGAGTGCGGGTGTGTAGAGTCTTCGTAAGGTGCAGATGTCTACTTTTTCTGCCTTTCGGCTTGTCTTCGCAAGTGCCCCCTTACATTCTTTCTCCTTGAGATGTACGGGTAGTGTCTTCGTGTTCCGAAGAACGTGTGGCAGGAAGGAACCTCTTGTGTGCTTGGCTTATCTCCATCACGTATTTTCCAACTTCAAAGACTGGAGGATCCCGTCTCGTAGATCGATCATGTCCTGTGGCGACACTGATGTAAGATAGGAGAGGACCGTCATTGTTGTCGATACAATTTTGCTCTCTCTGATACTTATTGACCAACACCTCAGATAAAATGTAGTACAACATCAAATAATAGGTATCTCTGGTAGTAAAGTTCCACCGGTTTGCGCTGCCATGGCGGACGTATGGAACGAAGCGTCCTTGGAGCTGGCGACCCTGATGTAAGCGAACCACAATGAAGTTCGACGTCTCAGGCCAGGGAATGTCACAAGCGCTGATCATTTTGATCTAGACATTATCCTTGAACGGCCTTGTGTGAGAGAAATCTGGTGTCAGACGGAGATTCAGATGTTAGATCTCGGCGCTCGCCCGCATTCGTTATGATAATCCACTTCGAAAACATCGATCTCTGCTTCGAAAGATGGCCTAATAAGGTATCTTGGTACAATCGATTGATGGGAAGGGTGCCTGAAGATAGTCTCAGCTGTTTTGCAGAACGTATCCGTAGGGAAGCTGATAACGAATCGACTTCATGTAATAAAATATCTCCGTGGAGTGCAAGTGAAACACTTTGCGAGGCAATCTCATCATTTTGTCCACATGACAACCGGAAAATTGGGATCAAAGTGGTTGAGGTGACCAGCAAATACCATTTTCTTAGGTACGTATAAACAGGCGGGATGGACCACTCAGCTAATCACTCCTTGTGGCCTCCGTCTTTACGGCCGTCTCCGTGTGTGTTGAGCAAGTCCTCCAAACAAAGACCTGCGTCCCAGAGATAGGCTGACTTTTTGACGGGCTTGACAGAAGATAGTGAATTGGCGGGTTCACCCCCTGGGCTCTCCAGGGCTCTCATAGTGACATACCCAATGCCTTCATAGTCGTAGTCGTGGCCCTCGAGGTTTGGGTCAAATTCTCGTAGTAATTCTTCTTTCATTTTTCGAATTTCCCACGTAAGAAGTGAAAAGGCATAAACATTTTGTTCGTTTAACTAGACCAAGTTACGTATATCCCTAATAGTTCGGCCTTCCCGTGGTAACAAATGCAAGTGGCATATCTTGTTACAAATTCTCGTACCACTAGATCATATTCGTCCCCGGGGCCACGAGGGGTAGGATAGTCTCTCTTTAAGACTTCGGTCAGGTTAACAAGTGTCTTTTCAATCTTGCCACGGCAGGCGTGGATCTTGCACAGCTCCTCGAACGCAGCCTGGCGATTCTTCTCGATAGTCTCGATCTGCTTCTTGATCATTTCTTGGGTGTTGTGACTAGGTTGCTGATGTAACTGGGACTGCCCCTGACCGAATGAGGCTGGTACACTGCGCAATACGGTGCGAAATTGACTGCACTTGAGATTTCCAGGCCATTTGCAGTGGCTGCATATTCTTTTGAAAGGTTAGGGCTCGAAGCCACAAATTATTAATGCATATTTCCCGTCATTTTGGCGTTGGTATGATGAGATAGGTTCTCATTTCTGTGGAGTGGTGAAATTTCGAACTGGCAACCCTGTACAGAACCTGGGTTTCAATATAAGATAAACAGTCTCAAGTATAGCTCACTGCGATCCATCTCGCAATGTAACCAGTTGATATATAGTTTTGTTCGTATCGAGAGAGGTAGTTTCGAACCGAAAGCCAATCCTCCTTGATCGGCTCATCGTCGATAATGTATACACCACATGTATCATAAAGCGGTGCAACCTTTCGACAAAGCTGCAATATGTAATCAGTGTCTTCCAATGCGATGGCTTTTCGAAGGTGACAAATATGATGTGGATCAGCATAGAGGCGGAAGGGCTGTACCAGAGGGACATAAGCATGGACGAGTTCATCGGGATGTTAGTCCAAGAACAACCGTAGCTATATCGCATCACTGTGGACCACTTATTGTTTGCGCTATCGCCATGAACGAAGCCAGCGCTGGTGGCGGTCGAACCGTCACTGCGTTAAGGACTGCATCTCCACGTCAGGACCGCCATCTTCGTCACGCTCTTCGTCGATGTTGTCAGCCTCATGAGACGTGGCCCTCAGCGAAACACTATGTTTGAGTATTGCCACAAACAATGTAACGTTCCCGTTGAAGTCAAAGTGCTGCTTGGTTAGGGTATCGCTCCAGATAGCCCTAGGCTTACTGGCATTTCGGGCAAGGTTGAAGGCATTTGACATGGTAGTCGATACCAGGTATAAGTTGTAGAATTTGATCTGCTCAACCAATTCCAGCTTGGCGTGCAATCCAGTGCTGGACGTGCGATTCCCACTGCATCCAAATGCAATGTAGATGTGTATATCATCCACGCCTCATGCAGGAGGAGGCGGGCGGCGTCGCAATCGAGCTGTAACCTCTTCATTTCGACCACGGAGCAGACCAGATATGATAGTTCCGATGGCAGTGGAGACATGAATGTCGTCGAACCGGTGGCATGATGTGAAGGAGTAGGTTTGAACGAAGGACTGGGTGCCCATAAAGCTGACGGTCACTTGATATGTTTGGTCATGTCTTTGAAGGCAAATGACCGGGAGTCTGAGTTCAGTTGAGAACAACTCTCAGTAAATTCTCCTGGTGCCTTAAATTGGAGGCATGCTTAAGCGAGCTACGCATCTTTGCCTTGCCAAGTTCCTTTGTAGGATGAAGGTTGAAGTTAACCTTTTGCCGCTGCTCATCGAGCCGACTGTGAGCAACCCTATCGCTTTTTCTTGTGCTTGCCTTTTGGACAGCAATGTCGATAAGGTGATAGATAGTATCTATCTCCTCTGCATTCAATCTGCAAAAGTCAATGCCAATCGTCAAAGCAAGCTCATTGAGACATGTGTCTCTAGTACTCTCGTAGGCATATTCCATATTCAGAATCAGAATCAGAATCAGAATCAGTGCCAGGAGCGTGGCTTTTTCTTCCCGTTGGCGATCTCTGTCTCCGCGGTTATTCTTCCTATTCCAAGCTGGTGATGCTAGCGACGTTGATAGATGAGGTCGTGATACGTGCTCGGCTAGTCGGAAGAGTCTAGCCCGGCAAAGTAGCGGGAGGTACAGACCTGGCGGCCTGGGCCTGTTGATTCTCGCTGTTGTCTGTGTTGTTGTTGTCACTATTCGAGCATGCTTCGTTGACTCGTTGGTGGATGAATTGAGATGCTTATATTAGTGGACTCGATTGACAGGTGAATCTCAGCGAGTACCAGGTAATCAGTTGAGCGCTGTCGGAAAATCACGCTTTTTGCCGCACCTATAAACTCTCTACTGATCGTCCAAGAGACTGTTTGAGAAGGTAAGATAAGTTTGGTGTTGACTTCGATCGCATGGATCTAGCTTGACTGAAAGCAAAGCACAACCCTATAAGACAAAGTTAATTGAAACGATATCAATGTTACAAACTCGATCTTACCAGAGATTGTCGAGTTAGGAGTGGTAGGCCTTGTTGTCATTATAGGCATGATCTCTATGAGACTGCTGATGATGATTGAGTTCGGCGGCACTTGATTCTTTCGGCTATATCACTGCAGCTCAGGTCGGTGTAGCAGTTGTAAAGACGAATCTTGTCGCCGTGCTGCCTGCAAGTTGCGATTCGGTGTGCTTCGGAAGTGGCGTTTCCGTATCTCCATACACTTTCTACGGACGTCAAGGCCCTCGCCAAGCTCGACTTTTGGAGTTACCGTAGATAGAGGCAGAAGACCAGCCAGCCATGAAGGACTTGGCCCACTTGCACTCCAGGCTGACAAAAGGCCCGGTGGATGGGTTTAGGACAACCCCTGGATCAACTGGATGAGGGTTGTGGCTTTGGCCTAGACGTTTCGATCGTCTGGTTCGGCTCAGCTGGCTTCCTTTAGTCTCCTAAAAGAAGATCTTTCATAGATCACTCGGTCGATTGCTGTAGCAAAGGAGTCCACATGAATGCGAGGCTCGTCCCATACACTTTTGCCGATGGTTCTTCAAGTCTAGGACTGTTCGCCCACACTTTTCGTGGGTGAAATTGACGCATTCTTTCTTTGCATCTTTGCACCCCTTGCATCTCCGACTCCCCTTATTTTGATGCAGGGCACCACGTCGGCGACGCAAGCCTGGCATCTACCACAGCACCGACTGATGAACTGGCTGCTGGGTGATATGCCTGATAGGTTAGTGTCAACACCTGGAGTGCGACACTCCGACAAGCCATCGTCGGAAAGTTTCGATGAGATGGACATGTCCGTCATCTTATGTAAGTTCAGCCGTCCATCCCCAAGGTCGCGCTGGATGCTCGAGAGAGAGATATCGCAGTCCTCGATGCTTTGTAGGATGTATCTCGTCTATTCGTCATGTATTTCACGCTTAGGTTTTATCGTACTATATTCGTTTTGTTTGCGTACGACCTCGTCGATGATGAGTTTTCTCCTCTCGCAAGTCAGCCCTTATGTCATAAGGGGTAGGCGGGAGCATCCCGATAGGGTCTTGGTGGTGTGTGAAATGTATTTCGCGAGCGAAATCGTCGACATATGATGCGGTGTGGTTTCTGCCTTCGCTGAGTAGAAGGAATCCGATATCTCTGCCACTAAGAACGGTCGGTACCACGCCAGCAACTTCGAGGAGGGTGGAATGCGGCCGCCCGGGACTCGCAGTCTCAGTTAATCCCATAGTTGGTGTGAAATCTCTAACATTTTTGGTACTGTTTGCGTCCCTGCTTCTTGTGCTTGTCCCAATGTGGCAATGACGTTCGGATACGGAATCAATACCAGGTAGACCAGGCTCGTTATCGTCAAAAATTGTCGTCGGTGGTGATAGTAAGGGAGTCGATGGTAAGCGGGTCGATGGAAAGGGAGTCAACGGAAAGAGAGCCGTCAACCCTGGCATGAGAGGTAAAGGCACCGTCGTTTCCTTTCTAGCTGGGGTCTACACGGCTTTCCGCCGTCACCAGTCGCAGCAGAACCTCGTTTGTTGTTTACCAAGTCAACAATCCTATCAACAACAATATCAAATACGCCGTTGATTTCGTCCCTAGAGGACTGGTCAGCTGCCTCCCATAGTAGTTGAGGAAAAGATGAAGGAAAATGAACAACCACTCATTACTTACGCGGTGAAGGTCATGTAACTACCCAAAACCGGATCGAGCTCTTATTGCAAGGACAACCTTCAACTCCCTGACACTGTGGTTTGTCTGTTTGCCTCGACACACTGTTTGGGTTCTGCTGATTGCTCCCTCCAGAAAAGTAACGGTAGAGGTTAATACCAGGATGAACCGCATATCAGCTGGAGCAACTAGGCTGTCCTGGTTGACGTTCTGTCGCACCGCTGCCATGAGAAGGGCACAGATAACCAAAGTAAGAATAACCACAACAAAGTCAATCAGGTTGCAAGTGACCCTCAGTTCTACCTCTTGTTGGAGGCCGCCCTCTCTATCCTCCTGGCTTCGCGTTTCAAGAGTAGGCTGGTCCGATGGTTCGCCATCGCCACTGGAGTGCTCCGTCAGAGTCGAGGCAGTATCAGAAGTGTCAATGATATGCAATTCGTAGCTCAAGCTCGAAGTCGGGCAATATGGATGTCCAGTCTGAAACACCCAGGAAGGCGAGTTGTGATTGCCATGATCCTTTCGGGTTGGCCGCGAGTTTGACGATGTGCAAACTTGGGCAGTGAGGGGAATAGGTGGTGTTGGCAGAGTGGCAGGATATATAGGCTCACTGCCCAGAGAAGAGATTGGGATCTTCATGCGACAGAAAGGTATTGTCCAGTCCATGAGATAAGTGTGATAAGGCCGAGAGGATAGAAGTGCCTTCAGCCTCAACACAGAGGCAAAGAAGGCAAAGTAACGAAATGGGCAATATACTCGTTGTCCTCCGGTGCCTGGTGTCTTATCTCTGGCTACCGTGATATAATGCTTGCTAAGGAAGAACACCAAGCTGTACAGAACGAGACTGGGTATCTCACTATACCATAAGTCCGCTCGCACATTGAGGGGAAAAGGGTACTCCGAGTCGTAAGGGAGTGATGATGGAGAAGATATCATGAAAGGGGATGGTGCTTCGGTGCCAGTACTGCCGGCACTGGAGGTGAACTTCATACTCAACCAAGAAGACTTGAACGAGCACGAAGGTGACGAGAGGGCAGGACATAGTGACAAGTTGGGGAAATGGTGAACTCTGGAGAAAAGAAGAAGGGAAGGAAATGGAGGGAGGGAACGAGTATTTGAGATAGAAAGTAGCAGCGCTCTCGCACGTGATTCGATTGTCTCTGAATACGCTGTATGTCATGATGATTTGTGTGAAGTCATATCTGTTGGATCCCGCAGTTGTCGTTACTACTATGATGCTCAATACACAGACGGGAGGACATCCAGCTTCCCCGACCCGAGGTCGAAACGTGTGACCCGATGCCAACGTGCACTATATTCACCAAAACTACACAAAATACAATGGCACTCCGCAGATGTTTGATACTTGGTCATCAATTTTGCGGTGTATCCGTCGGGTGTTGACCTCTTCCATGCGGGAGTCTGCATATGTGCCCACACTTCGACCACCAAACGTCAAAGTGCCTAAGCCCCCAAGTCTGGACTTACACCCGATACCAAACTTATTTCGCGTTTTGTGATTCATTTTCTCGGGTCGGGAAGCCTCCCGTAGCCGTGCCAAAACATGATATTCCCCCGCCGTTATCAACTATGGTTACTCTACACCTCGCCATCCCTCCACTGTATCAAGAATCTTCTTGGCATTCTCTAACGCCGTCTTCTCCGTTGAATCAATCATCAAGCACGGATACCCTTGGAACCTAAACAGCTCACACCGCTTTCTCATGTCTCGCAGAAGCTCCTGGTCGAGTAACTTCGTCGTGCCGCTCGCCACCCTCTCCGCGTTGTCTATCCGTTCAATGTTTGCCTCAAGACCACACGTCAAGTACACGGGAAGAAAGGGGCGGTCTGCCTGCCTAGAAGCGCTTGCATACTCTTGTGCCACGCTTTGACCCAGCTCGTTGTCTGATTGAAAGTCTACGGAGTGTGAGTATTAGCTAGATAATGGCACGGAAGATGGGGGTATGTGTACCTGTGAAGACGACGAGACGGCCGCGGCTGGAAGGATGACGTACGACTATTTGTAAGATAGCCTGGCGTAATTGTTTTCTTCGGATATTGTAATCTAAGTGGTCTCTAGAGAGTACTGCTCCTACAGGGTCGATCAACTTGTGGTTGTCTAGCACCATGATGCTGGGGTCTAGTTGCTTCATAGCGTCTGCGATTGTTTTCTTGCCAGTACCGGGAAAGCCGTTTATCCACACCACAGGTGCTTTGATTGCGGTCGGCATCGTCAAAGCTGGATGCGAGGAGGGAGGCGACAATGAATCCTGGGGTGTAAATCCGGGAGTTTGTGAACACTGCAATTATATCGATGGCAATGAGACAACGGTACGGATTCGGCTTGCAAGTCAGTAATCTTATGTTTTCTGTGTAGGTTTTCGAAGCTGGGGTTGGCTCTCACGAAAACCGTAAAAAGTTAACATTGCTAGACTTTTAATTATGTGGAACTCAACTTGTAAACTCAGCGTATATCGACCTTCAGTATTTGCGAATATGACAGCAATCAGGATTAATTTATTATCACTCGACGGGGATTTTCTGGTCTCATAACCACATCAGGTTCTTTAAGACCGGTAATGAGTCGGGAAAGAGAGCAATAGCTATTGTCGTGACAGTGCTGAAGGTGGCAGCGGACGTCAACCTCGGTGCTAGATGAAGGAAATGCTGTTCACCCGTCAATGAGATCCCATGAAGCATGAATGTGCTCGATTTCGAAGCACTATCTGTGATGATCTGACAGACTGTCCCATGATGAACACCATAATTACCATGTGAATCCAGGCAGGACATCACATTAATTGACCCGACAGTTTGGTTCACCCCGGTCCCAAGAATCTGCACGCCAATCACATCCCATCTTCTTATTGTGCCGAGGTCATCTGACGTGTCAACCGTGCAAAGAAAATAAACCATATAGGCCGGGTAAAAAGAAACAATTTAAAGACAGAAAATCTGATTAACTAGGATTTATATAACGAGAAAGAACAACTCCCGTACTTTGAGTTGATAGCCGCTAGCTGAATTAGGCCTCGCTCGCTAGCTTTCTAGAAAGTACAGGGTAGACAAGCACCAGTGTAAGACAGTGTGATCTTGTTCGAATGCATGCCTTTACACATTAGAACGCACCATTGATTTAGCGCAGCAAGTAGTTTAATGGTCAGTTTACAAGACTGCGATATGAAAGTACATTCTCCAATACCACAGTACCTGAGTCCATTCAAGAAACCGACAGTCCGGGCATCCATGGCCTATTGGGATCAAGTTCATCAACTCGTCCGCGACTCAGGCTGCTTTTAGAGACCGATAACGATGCCCTGGCTTTACTAACAAGAATCTCAACAAATTTTTGTTGATGTCATTCCCGATGGCACTGCATGACTCGTGTCGTCGTCAGAGACATTCTTATCTTTTAGTGTCATCTCATCTCAAGCCTCATACGCCAAGAGCCACGATCCAACGTCAGATTTCGATAACGTTGTGACCTGGGGCTTATTATTCATACTGCCACTCACTTCAAAAAAAAAAATTTACATCTCTCCCTCGTTTTCTTCATGTTATTTCACTAAAGCACACTATCAAAATGACACTCAATCGAGTTGCCCCCGAGATTCTTCTCGAAATCTCCAACCATGTTGATCATGAAGATCTGCGAAAACTTTGCGCCGCATCTCATCGTTTAATGTCAACATTCGAACATCAACTCTACTCAACCATTGAATTGAACGAATCTTCACAATCTGGAAGTGCCTTGTTGGCCCTTGCATCTGGACCTCGAAGGGATATTGTTCGTGAAATTCGATACAGGCCTCATCATCCTTGGCCAGTTCGAGACAGGAGGCACAAGCCAGAAATCAAGCTCAGTGATGAAACTCGAACCGCACTACAATCTCTCAAGTCTTTCCCGTCTTTAGAAAAAGTTCAGTTCGACCTGAGTCACTGGGAGCTATCAGAATGGGCTCTGTCACCGCAGTGTCTGAACCGTTGGGAATTTCATCTATGGCACGGAAAACACGACACAGAGCCTTGGAGGGTTCTTATCGAGGGGAGTCTAACAGCCTTGAGTAAAAGTGCTGGCTCCTTTTCTCGACTTGAGATCAATAGTCTCCCGCCAACGGGACGAGAAACATATCGTGCATGCGAGTCGGGAACGTGGAAAGATCTTCTCAGACACCTAACATCGTTTGAGATGACACTTGCAGGTAGTGGGCACATGGGACATGGCGGGAGCTACATGTATGGCAAGATGACTTCAGCACACCAGGCGTTCATAACTCTCTTCCCGGAGATGTTTTTAGAGAATCTTCACAATGTTCAGGTCTTGCGACTCACTGGGAAGGCGAACGCAGTCATGGGCAATGAGCAACTCGTGGAGCCCATAAACTGGGCATCTCCATTTATCAATCTACCGTGTCTGACAACATTAGGGCTGGATTACTCTCAGATCTCTAGCCAGCTCGTTGCCTTTCTTTCCAAACATGCAGGGACACTCGAGAGGATCAGCCTGCGGAACTGTATAGCCCCAGCCAAGCAAATCTGGATCAACATCATCAACCTCTTCCTCAACAGACAGCCCAAACAACTACTTGAATTTACGACCACAACGCATCCAGTACATAAGCGCATCGGAGACCCTTTTGCCGATCACTCAGACGGGTCAAATGTCAAAATGAGGAGGTTCGTGGTTGGACTGGCGAAGCACGATATCGTACCTGTGGAGGAGTGGGACGCCGTGGGAGACAATGATCCGGAACTTGACGAGTCTGATGTTTGCAAATTGTGGAATCAACTCGAGGAGATGTTGGAGCGGAATAGATGCCATGCGCGAGGCTTGTTGCAGGAAGCTAGCCGTTAGCACGGACATGAGCAAACAGTCATGAAGCCATCCCGAGCGAGTTGCGTTGGTATCTCCTTGCATGAGTTGTTTGAGTCTCAAACATTCAAGTTTTCTAGTATATACTTCCAAATATAGTCATTTTATCATAAGCGCAAACAAGCATATAGAATAGGTATCATCGCTAAGCCCAGAAATACAAACAAACACTTTAATGTAATCATCCGTCCCATCTCGGCGCATTGATGATCAGTGCCATCAAACAGCCCGAGATGACTCCCGTCACAGGCAATGTAACTAGCCAACCCATATAAATCCAAAGCACAAGCTTCGGATTAATACACCTCCAATCCCCATTCGCCAGCCCAACACCTACCGTAGCTCCCGTAATGCACTGCGTAGTAGACACGGGTAAAGACAGCCTCGTCGCCATGAGCACCGTGATTGCACTCGCAAGCTCCATGCAGAAACCACGACTTGGCGAAATGAGAGTCAGACGATTGCCTAGTGTCCGCATGACGTGGTAGCCGTAGGTTAACAGTCCTAGCACGATACATGCGCCGCCTACGGCGAGGATCCAAATCGGTATGGCGACGAATTCAGGGATTTCTCCGCTGGACCACACTTGATATGCTGTTGTGAACGGGGCGACTGCATTACTGACGTCGTTTGCGCCGTGGACGAAAGAAGCTGTTGCGGCGGTGAGGATCTGGAGGGCGGAATACATGTACTCTGCACGGTTGTCATAGTGCGCTGATCGAGCGTGCATGTCTTCCAAGTCCCAGCTGAGGATATTGTTCCGCTTCTGCATAGCCACGACGTCCTTCTCCAGTCCGCGGAGTAGTACCCGGTTCACTTTCCATGCCATGACTTTTGGACTGTTCCATGAGCCGTCAGGTCGGGGAGGTATGAATTCTGACGAAGCCCGAGGTTCAAAGCGGCCTGGGGGTGTTTTGGGGGGTGTCTGAGCTGGCGGTGGGAGAATCCATTCATCGTCGCGATCAAGATCGGGCAACTGGCCGTCTGGTGTCTGAATCGATTGAAGAAGAGTCTCGGAGGAACGTAGATGGTTGAGCTCCTCCCGCGTGAGATGCCCCTGGTAGTAGTCTCTGATGCGAGGCTTGGTAAATCCAGCTGGAGTTGGCGGAGGTGGTGA